TTGAGTGACGTCAACCATATGTTATCTCATGAATGTTATTGGTTTAACAATTTTTGAGTAACGTTTACCTCTGTAACAAGCTGTCTTGCACTTTTTTCAGCATACAAGTTACCGCTAAAATTAACTCATCTTTTTTAACAACTTCTCGCTCCGAGTTATCTCTTCGTACGAGTGTTACTTCATTTCTTTCCATGTCTCTTGGACTGAATTCGATTCTTATTGGTACACCTTTCAGCTCCCAGTAGTCGCATTTATATGCTCGATGAATTTTATCCTGCACTCTAAATTTATTCATTTTTAGTTGATTGACCAGACAGGTGCATTCATTTATAAGTTCCTCTTTCTTTGACTTAGACATGCTTGCGACTATGCCGCAGGGAATCACAACGACTTGTATTGGTGCTACATTTGGAGGTAATATCAAACCTCTATCATCTCCGTGTACCTAAATAAATAAGTATTCATTATAAAATACATAGCTTATGCAGTATGCCATGTGTCATCTATATATAATAATAATAATAATAATTGTAGTAACCATTATCATGATTCCAATCGTTCGTGTAGTTAAACTCCATGAATTTTGATAGACGAACGTCTTTTTTCCATCCTCGATACCTTCTACTTGGATATTAAACATTTTCGAGAAGTTTTGTCCTAGATGGTTGCTCGTCGCTCCCTGTATCGCGTGACCATTAGTTGAAATGAACGCTTCGACAGTAGTGGTATAAACGCTACCCGCGAATTTCTCCTTTTCAGTCTTATAACCCTTGATGACGGGCACCGCTAACAACTCCTCATAGACTCTAGCGTACATATCTAAAATGGTCAACACTTCCTCCTCCGCTTCCACCTGCGTAGCAAACGCGGTATGACCCTCCGCCCATAAACATTCTGTGGTGGATAGAAACGGTTTGGGATCTTTAAGTCTCATTTTCTGCAAACAAAAAATAAGATAGAAATGTTTATTTTCGACGACAATTGGCAATAAATGTATTGAGACGACTTCGCAACGTTTCGACCTTCAGGACTGGATCCTTCTCAAACAAAAATAAGATAATTGAAACGGAGCGATATTGAAGTAGAGTAAAGAAAGACGACTGATAATACTTACCACAACGTTGCTAGATTGATTGAGCTTAAAAGGTAAATCGGTAACAGACCTCAACCATTTGGCAAAATCCGGGTACATAACAGTCTCCAAGGTGGGCCGAATAGCTATGGGCTCCGCCAAATCGCTTTCGCCGCATTTTGTTATCCATACGACTCCTGGCGCAAAATCCGTTATATGCGCCTTCCCCTTTTTTAATACGCCACGAGTAACCAATATCGGATGGCAGCATTCTTCAACACCGAGCGCCGTTATCTTTTCGTCGATGTACTCCATTATCATATACCAGATCGAGTAACTCCACGGACGAAGAACGTAGCATCCCGACACGTCACAACATTCAATCATTTCGCTCTTTGTGATAACTTGCGAATACCAATCAAAGAAGTTCTCTTCCTTCTTCGCCTCCAATCCTAATCTCGTCCCAGCTTTGCTTGTATCTGCATCCTGACTATCCGCGTTTTTCGCAACTTCTTTCTCCGACGTCTTTCCGGGCTTGGGAGATTTTTGCTTTTCCTTTTTCGACGCTACCTCCGAATTTACGGGCTTCAAATCCTGACCAGTCGCATTTTTATAATCACTTTTCAAATTTAAGAGAACCTTCACTTCTTGATCAATAACGCTTTTTAGATTTCGTACTTTGTCGCATTGCTTCTTTATCTCAAAGTAATCCGAGATATGCGTAAAACGATCAGGTTTATGTTGCAGTAATCTTAAATCTTCCAGTATAGCATCCTCAAATTCTACGGTCTCCTTCACTCCTGCGGTCTCCTTCGCTGGATTTGTGTCGTCAAATCGCATGATGAGCTGTCCTTGAAAAGCCTCAATATAATACTGAGGGATTCTTACCACTACCTGCAGAAGATGAGTAAACATTTTTTTTAAAGTTACAAGAGTTAAAAAATTAAAATAAATCTACTTCTCATTGTGTACTGCGTGACTTTACCTTGCCCATTTCTGCTCCGGGTAGATCGA